GGGCGCTTATTTACAGTCTAAAACGTATTTTAGGATTTTTTTCATTAAATTTCTCTTTAAACTTCATTAAAGAATACAATTTTGTACAAATAATTGATTGTTATGCTACTATTTATAAAAATAAAATCAGAAATCCATTAAAAGATAAGTTCTCTATCATTTTTTTTCAATTCACAAATGCACGCTTGCATTGCCTACTAAGAAAGTTAGTACCTGTAGTCATCGGGTTAATTCTATTGTTACGTGATCGGCGGATTTGACCGACCTCGTAACCACTTTGTATTCACTATAGTAATATGGCGTTCAAACCGAAAAGGATATTTTTCATGAGTGGTTTGTTGGTGATATTTGCCCAGCTATTAAACAGTATTTTGAGAGACATGGGATTCCTAAGAAAGCACTGTTACTCCTCAGTAATGCCCCTAGTCATCCAATCAACCTTGGCCCCTTAACAACAGAAATTAAATTTAAGTTGTGTTTCTCTCCCCCCCTCAACACGATATCCAAAGTGCAGCCCATGGATTATGGGGTGATTACTGTCTTCAAGGCATGCTACCTGTGATATACATTTTCACAGCTCATCAAGAAAACTGATGGTGAAGATGGCATATCCATCAGGGAATTTTGGCGCAGTTATAACATTATGAAGGCAGTGATAAACATCAGAGAATCATGGTGGGAAATGACTGTCAAGTGCATGAACAGTGTGTGGAAAAAGCTTTAGCCTGACCACATAAATTACTTTGTTACTTTTGAACCACAAATTCACAACAAAATTGTTCAGCTTGCACAACAGGCTGGTTTCAGTGAATTCTATGAGTATGATGTGAAGGAGTTACTAAATTCTTATGGGAAGAGTTTAACAAACGAAAACCTCATAGAGCTGGCCCAGCAAGCAGAAGACGTGGCTGCAAGTGATGCTGTTAGAAACGTCTAACAAACACAGACCTCATAGAGCTGGCCCAACAAGCAGAAGACGTGACTGCAAGTGATGCTGCTGAAAAGGGCTACACCAGAGAGAGTTCTTACATGCAAAGTACTCTAAGACATATTTAATAAGGACAATGGGGCAATGAAACTTGCCTTTTAAAATGAACCTGACATGGAGAGCAGCAGTGGAGTGGCAAGGAAGATGCAGGATGCAGTTTTTTGTTCCCAAAAAACAAAACAACTAACCATCACTTCTTTCATTAAAAAATAGGCAGCTATACCTGCACCGAAGGAGGAAGAATCGGATGATCTCGTTCCCTACACCTCTCCCCACTAACTCCCCACCACTCTCACACGAAGTCAGCTTCAAGACCATCACTGGTCAGTGTTACATATAAATTAATTTATCTTTAAGATGCATTTTTATTAATTAAATTTGTTAGTAATGCATTTGTTTCGAGGGATAATGTACATTAATGCATTTTGTAAGATACTATTGGGCAAATAATGAGTAAAATTATGTCAAATAGTTTATTTGTTTGTTTCTTTGTTTTTTAAATTTCACGCAAAGCTACACGAGGGCTATCTGCGCTAGCCATCTCTAATTTAGCAGTTTAAGACTAGGGGAAGGCAGCTAGTTATCACCAACAACCGCCAACTCTTGGGCTACTCTTTTACCAACGAATAGTGGGATTGACTGTCACATTATAACGCCCCCACGGCCGAAAGGGCGAGGATATTTGGTGGGACGAGGAGTCGAAACCACGGCTCATAGATTGCGAGTCGAGCTCCCTAACCACCTGGCCATGCCAGGCCCAAATACTTTATTATAGAAACATTTTTATCGTCGAAAATTAAACCTCAGGTGATGTAATTGTCGTGTAGAGCTCATGGATTTCCTGGTTATAGTCTAATCTCACATCTACGTCTCCTCATAAAGTATAATCCCTATTTGTATTCTTCATCGATGTCAGTTACCCACACATAATGCTGGGAATCTTACAACAGTGAGGGTATTTCCAATTTCTTTACTGCTGAAACTTTATGAATTCTTGCTGTTTGTATACATCTATCGTCTTTCTTTATCTCTGGAAGCAATTACTCTGATCAGGTCGACCAATGGTAACTGTAGAACCAGTGTTAATCAATATGTTGCAATGCGACCCATAAATTGGTCTATTAATTAACTTATTAACTCATAAACTGATTTTTTTTTAAATAATGACCTTTTTATCTCAACTGGGGCGAATGGAGTATTTTCAATGGATCTTCGCCCCTTAAGTCCAGCTAATTCCTGTTTCCTAGTGTCGGTTATCTCTTTGTTGTTTTTTGATAGGTTTTGGCTCTGGAACTCATACTCAAAATATCATATTATTGGTTTATTATCATCTGTTGTGTCATCACAATTTCTGCTGTAATTGCCATGACATAGTTATCTTTTTCTGTCATCCTTTTGTATCAACAATTTATATTTCATACAGCCTTTTGTTTGTAATGAGTTCCTACTGTTGCTTGGGAGAAGGTGTCTAGTCTAAT